TTCGTATTTCACTTGAAAATTTTGAGACAATATTTTTAAGATGTTACACTAACATTTTATAGAAAAAAAAATTTTGTAATTTTTTAAGATTCTAAAGGTATTGCTCCCCTTAAATCTTGAAAGATTTCGAGATTTGGGTATGTGAAAATTTGAACGTTAGGGAATTTCGGGAGCTAGAAAGTTGCGAAGATAGAGTCTTCAAGAAATAGGAACTCCATCAATTTTATAATTTACGAACCTGGCAATGTACAAGCTTAGATCTTGAAAAACTTCGGAATTTGGGAAAGTGAAAATTTGAACGTTGGGGAATTTCGGGAGCTATAAAGTTGCAAAGATGGAGTCTTCAAGAAATAGGAACTCGATCGATTTTTCAATTTACAAACCTACCAATGTACAAGCTTAGATCTGGAAAGATTTCGAAACTTGTGAATGTGAAAAGTTGAACATTTGAAAATTTCGAGAGCTAGAAAACGAAGATAGAGTCTTGAAGAAATAGGAAACTAGGAGTGTGTAAATCTGAACCACCAAAAATTTAGAAAATTGCTACTTATGAAAATATAAGGAAGTAAAATGTAGATAATTGCAAAGTTACAAAATTTGATAATTCGAAAAATTTGAGTCAAATTTAAATTTTAAAAAGGGCTTCGTATTTCACTTGAAAATTTTGAGACAATATTTTCAAGATGTTACACTAACATTAAAAAAAAAAATTTGTAATTTAAGATTCTAAAGGTATTGCCCCTCAAAAAAAAATGGAAATCGAAAGGTGAACCACGTACAAAGGCACTAAATGTATAGAATTGATCGAGAGAATATGCGATGGAAAGTTAATTAGAAAAACACGGAGAAAGTTATCCCGTTCCAGCGATAAAATAGGACACGAAACTCTCCGATATGTGGATTTCGAAATTAGCAATTTAAGTTGGTTTGCACAGCACGGAACACGGAACAAATGTTTTAAATCAATCGTTAGCTAAATAAGTGGTGGAGAAAATAGCTTCGTCAACTTTCTCTCTCTCTGTTCAGTGAAATCTTTGATAACGCGAATAAATTGGCAGTTTAGCGGTCGTTGTAGAGATACGCTCGGGGCTCCATTAACCGAGCTATTTGAGAGACAACGGATAATCGAGAGGTAAGGTGAAATAAATGTCTGACCAATGTCTAATTTATACTACTGAAATTTTCAGGCGGTTCGATTCCGTCAACTCGTGGAACTCGCTGTGCCTGGGGGTTATAGTTTAACATTCGTTCATTAAAATTGACTCGACACTCGAACTGTTCGATAAGTTACGGGATGTACATTCGTGTACGAGGACTTACTTCGGACATGCACACGTATTCATGCAATGTAGCAAATTTTCGTACAAGACTATCTTCAAGTAAAATTTCATATTTTTATACTTGTAAATTGGCAAATTTTTAAATTTTTAAATTCTCAAGTTTGCAAGTTTTGAAATTTACCAAAACTTGAAATTCTGGAATTTTTGGACTTCCAAATCCCCAGATGCTGAAATTTCAGAATCTCATAATGTCCATGCCCCAGGAATTTTGGAATTTGGGGAATTTGGAATTTGGGGAATTTGGAATTTGAGAGTTTTGGGA